GCTATACCGAATGGGCACAATCAAAGGCCATTTGTACCAACCTCCTCTTTTCTCCTGTCGTTGATCAATCTTCTACGACTCATTTCATCTCTGCGTTAATTAAAGCCATAAAGAAAAGAAGAAAAAAAATTAACTTTGGAGAATACGGTTAATTTCGATTTGGGTTAGGTAAAAAAAGTAAAAACAGAGTTCTGTTTTTGTTTTTACCTGAGAAAAGTCCAAATGGAGTCATAATGAAGAAGGCCAAGTAGTTTCCTTCTTTTACCTTTGTGAATTACTTCACCTCGTTTTACCACTGGTAATTGCTTCACACCTCTTGCCTCCATCAACTCTTTGGCTACACTAACCGTCGCGTCTGGATAACAAGTAAACAAACCGCGTTCTTGGCCTCGGTATGTTATATTGCGAGTACACACGGAAGAAACCGGACATGTATTCTCCTGCAAGGAGAACAAAAAGATTAAAGAGCAGAGTTATGATGAGACCTCAAGGGGAGTTTGTTTTGTTTTACTACTTACATTTAAAATTGTCGAGACGTTATTAGACAAGTAACGTTTGATGTCGCCGTGTGTTAGGATTCCGGCTAGGAAATCATCTTCGTCGACTACCATAAGGCAGTTTTGGTGACTGTCTTTAAGGATGTTTCTTGCTTCTCTTAGAGTTGTTCCTAGAGAAACCTTTACGTAATTCTTTGACATTACTCGCAAAACCTTTAAGTCTTCCAGAATTGTTTCTTCATCCAAAGAGGATTTGTGGTCAGGGTTGTCTATGACGGAAAGCTCGAGGGAGTCGGTATTATCCGCGTGTCTCCAAACACCTTCTGTTTTACGCTCGGCAGGTGAAAGGGAAGAGTATCCTCTTCCCGTGTTGCGGCCTTCAGATGATGAATCACTCTCTTTGCCTTGGTTTGCCACCGAGGGAACCCATATTGCTAAACCAACCGCTCCCTGTTCGTCGAAATCGACAGAGATAACAAATCAAAAATCTAAGACAAATTCGATGAACATATGAACTAGAGTGCACAATGTAAGGTAAAACAGAAAAAATGTTTACCATGAGGGGAAGCAAGATTCTATAATCTTTTGTTAGCTCGAACAGCAGTAATACGGATGTTAAGGGAACTGAGCACATGGAAGCTAGTGTCGCTGCCATTCCAACCTGCAACACATAAAACGAGGGCATCTTGATGAGTCAGATTTCGTACAAATCGAATTGGACAGTATTAAAATTGAAAGAAAAAAGTTGCATTGAAGCAAAGGCCTGCAACAAAGGGAACACAGTACCAGAGCGTAAGCTTGTGGTTGAGCCACAGCAGCATTACCAGGAACAGCTCTGTTAATAACCTCAGCAGCCGAACCCCCAAACACAGCACCAACAGCAGCACCAATCATCAAACTTGGTGCGTATAAACCGCCTACAAGCCCAGAGCCTTTGCACAGAGCTGTAGCCACGACTTTGGCTGCGGCTAATTGAGCTAATAACCAGATTCCAGGAGCTGAAGCACTCTTTCCAGTATGAAGGATTTCCTCAACATTTGTGAACCCCCAATACAAAATTCCAGGGTACTTGAGAGCAATCACTCCAGCTCCTAAACCACCGAGTGCAGGGCACACAATAGCAGGAAGACCAAATTTTTCTTTGATGAAGTCGAATGACTTAGTGAACCATGTGACAAGGCGAGAGAAAACAACGCTGACCGCACCACACAGCATGCCTAATATCAGGTACAGTGGGAGCTCTGGAGACAAGCGGAAACATGTTCGGAAACTTATAAACAAATATTCGTTAAAGCAGATACTATTTGATACTTTTCCAAAAATATTATATCACCTATCTATCTGGACACTAAGTCATAAGCTTCTGAAAAAATATATCACAAGACTAACAGGAACTGGAAAGCTTGTAATTGAGCTTTAACACTACAACAAGCATACCTGCAGCGGACTTTAGGTCGTATGAGGGGACTGTGAAAGCTGATTGAGTCCCCAGCAACGCATTTGACACAGTAGATGATATAACAGAAGCCAAAATTATCATTGCAGTGGTAAATGGAGGCGAGTTCTCGGCGCGTAGAGGTCTTAATACAGTCTCAATGGCAAAGAAACAACCCGCTACTGCTGCATTGAAACCTGTAAGGAGAAATAAGATCAAGTATAATCAGAAGTCAAAGTGCGGTGAAATGAGTTCCTGCTTGGGAAAGACAAAGAAATATAGTGCCTGTCTCAGTTTCTCATCTATCGTAAGAAACACCAGTACTCAGATATCATAATTCAAAACAGCCATAAGCAAACTATCTTTCAATAATTATTCACAGGAAGATACTTTGTCTAGTAGTAGAACCTATGATCCATAGACACATTTGTAGGCTATTTAGTACATACAATTTAGACAGAGGGCAAAAAGAATAAGAAGCCATAAAAATAAATTAACCTAAACGATCCCAGGAACCCAGTATGGACATCTATTGATCATACAGCTTATATAACTAATGTTAGGTAGCAATATACTAGAGTAGGGAGCTATGTTGCTACTCCATTCATTGACAATCCAATACTACATAAATTTCAATTCAGTAGAGGCATAAAACTGATTTAGAAGAGGCAGTGTCTAGATTATACCAGATGCAATCCCAGAAGCTGCACCAGCTGCAGTGAGAGCTATTCTCCTTTCTCTATTGTTTTCCATCATTAACGCAAAACCGTTAGCACAAGACTTTCCAATGTCGACGCTAGGTCCCTCAGGACCCAATGAACATCCTGTACCAAGAGTCACAGCAGCTTGGATAGCTTTTATCACTGGAAATATCCCAGCAAGAAAATCAACTCCTTGTCTTTGAGAAGAAGTGGATTGTCTGATTTGGTCTAAGATCTCAAGCAAACCATGCATCATTCCTACTATAACACCACCAGTGACCGGAATCAAAAGAATCCGATGCCAAGTATCAGCTAGTCTCTGTAACCGAAGCCAAGCAGCTCCTTCGTTTGGAGTACCAGCCCATGCCCACTCATGAATGACATGAACCTAGAACAAAAACACTACTCTATTGAATCAGCAATCCAATACCATAGCCTAAAATCAAATTACAAGTATATGTGTATTTCGTCGAATCAATCTAGATCGAGATCTGATATATGAATGTATGATCGTACCCCTTTATTGAAACCGGCGACACAAATTCCGGCGGCAACACCGATAAGACAACCAATAAGAAGCAGAGCCCATTCAGGTGGAGCACTATCTCCGAGCACATCGTTACCTTCATCAAAACCATACTCATCATCGTTCCGGTAATCACGATCATCGACGGTATGTAAATTACTAACACCACCACCATCTTCTTCACC